AATGTTAACTTGGAGCTCCTATAACCCATACCATGAAAGTCCTTCTTGGTCATGTTGTGCTCTCAGCCTCGTGTCCTGCAAAACTGCCCATTCAAGAGAAATTCTCCAGAGGTCGTTTATTTCCTTTGCTTCTAATTCTTTTGCACTCGGTATTCAGAAAGGGCTTCTGAGTTAAACACGCCCTCAAATTGATCTTTTTATAAAGGTTATCATGAAGGGCCAGTGAGATAGCTCAGTGGACTAAGTACCTGCTTAGGCAAGCACCAGGACCTGGGTTCAGTCCCCAGCCCGCATGGCTTGTCGGCACCAACCCGGGCATGGTGGTGCACACCTGTAATCCCAGGACTGGGGGGGGGGGCTGAGACAAGAGTCTCATTATGAGTCCCAGCTGCATAGCAAGACCTTGTACCAAATACATTAAATAATAAATAAATAATTAAATAAATAACATGCTATCATATCAGCCAGAATGCAATGATCTAACTTACCCTATTCTACTACTGCACCAGTGACATACTTTCCAAGAGAATTCTCATTCACCTATAGAATTCTTTTAAGTTGGAGAGTAATCTTGAAAAAAAAAAAAAAGGAGCTAGAATCTGAAGTTTCTCTGATTATGGGGAAAGATCTGAGAAGCAGTACAACAGAAAGTGAAAACTAGCATTAGAGACAGAGTCTCATAGTTCAGGGTGACTTATTGGAGAATTCCCAGGCTCTTCCCCACCCCCAGCCTCTAGGACTTATTTCTGTCTCTCTTCTTTGCTACAATCTTGCAGTTACAGCCCAGTGTAGCTCCTGTGGTGGCCTTGGGTGAAACTTTCCCAGCACTGGGGCTGTGTAGTTCCAGATAGTGAATGGGAGGGCAGAGGAGGCTAATCTGCCTGAAGATGAGGGCGACAAACAGGCCTCCCTTTCCTCACAGACACCAAAGAATCTTGACTTTGTCCTGGGAGAAAAAAATCCTTTGCTTTGTTTCAAGGGCACTAAACCTCCCAACAGAGTACAGTAGCAGCAAGGGAAGTAGAGACTGGAGTAGCCAAGGTCTCACTCATGTAGACAAGCTGCTGGCCCCCGGGGGCAGCTCCCTAGGAGGCCTGGAGTCCACTACCATCCTCAGAATCACTCTTTTTCTGAACACGGTCTTCTCGGTCTCCCTCTCACCACAGTGCCCACTCGCAGCCCAGTGGCCCTTTCGCCCTCGCCTCTCTCAGGCACAACTCAGCCCTCCCTCCCCCCAGAGAGCTGACGCTCTGGGTCTCTCAGACATGGTTTCCAGAGCCCAGCTCTGTGCATCCTCCTCAGGCCCTCACCTTCAACAGTGCGGAGTGAGGCTGTGGTAGTAAAGGCAGCAGAGAGCAGGCCATTCTCGAAGTGAGAGTCTCTAACCTGGCTCAGTGAGGATGAACCTCTCTAAAGTTTCACTGCCACTGTGGGGTTCCCTCCCCAAAATGTTGATTCTCACTTTTGTGAACATCATAGTTTGTGCTTCAGAGACGCATCTCTGGAGGTAACGACAGAACAAGAAAACAGCCTGCTAGCTATGAGTTGTCAGAGAATGGACTGGACTTGGGATGGATGCTGTCCAGTCACCTACGAACTCCTAAGAGGCAAACTCATTACTCTTCCTTTTGAGCACATCTCAGACCCCAGATACCGCAAGAAGCAGTGCCAGCACTCCTCTTTGGAAACCCAACTTTCTAGGATTCTGAAGGTATAATTGATTGTCAGTGAAGAAAATACATTCTTGTGTTCTTAAATTTGCATTTGAGGCACGCTTAAAGGCTAGGTTTACTGGCAAAGTAGAACATCAGCAGTTCCCCTGGGCAACCAGTTAAAAAACTCGCATTATGTCTTTTCTTCTTTTCCCTGTATTTTATTTCCCTTTCTCTCATCCATCTCATGGCGAAGATGAAGACTGCTTGAACAGAGTCAAACAGTGAAGCCCCATTAAAAAGAAAGGGAAATAGAGTTCAACAGTATTAAACAGGTTGCTCTTTTCCTTATTTTGCCAAGCAAAAGCTAGAAATAAATCCTTCTGGACGGTGAATCCTTTTTTAAGACCCTGCGCTCTACTTTGCACAAGGTGGAGGTCACGTACAGTTAGACAGACATTTTTGAGTCATTTGAAGATTGGAGTCCCCTCATGGTCAAAGAGGAGGCATCACTTTTTCAGAGTCTGCATGCTGCCCTCTGCTGGCCTGTATGTGCAGGAGCGTGACATCACAGCAAAGGCATCTATTTTAATCCTACACCTTTGTGCCATGTACCTGTGAACACAGAGGATGTATTTAAAATACCCAGGCCATCTGAGCAAAAGTTTGTAATTGAAGCTAATTTGAGGAAGTCATTATTCTTCTGGTTCCAGGATTTGTGGATACCCATCGGTGAAGATACCATCCCACTTCAGATCTTGGAGCTCCAAACTTCTCATAATTAGGCACCTCCTAGCTCTGAGAACCATCTGAACAAAACAGTGCTCCACCATGGGCTGGGTTCTGATGATGTGCTGGCCAGTCAAAGATATCTTCCCTTCTAGAAAGGGTGGCGATAGGAATTATGTTGGAATTGTGCATCTCTGTTGAGATGAAGGGTCTTAAGACTGTATTTTAGCCTGACCAAAATTAATTCCACACATTATTACATCTGTGTGTCCTGGTCACAAACAAAGACAAGGGACTACATGGTAGGAAGTGAAGCAGCTAATCAAAGACCCAGAAGACACTGTAGGTAGACTGTTTGATTGAATATCTTTTCCTCTGAATAATTTCGTATGTTAGTCCTTTTGGGGACTTGTCTTCAGCTCAATATGGGACACATTTTTCTAAGTTGAAATAATTCATTACTTATTTTCCTAAATCCTTAAAGGCCCTAATACTGAGATCGTATCCCCAACCTGGCAAGTTTGCTGGAGTACAAATGTGGCTGGCCTAATCTGCTGCGTGTCTGCCCTTCTGCAATCTCGGTGTCTGCCCTTGACCCAGGAAGACCAGTCCTTTCCACATCAACAGGAACTCAGGGCCCAGACTCAGGCTCCTGGCATTCCTTTTCATTGGAGGAAAGCTAAGGAAGAGTTATTTACCTTAAGGAGATTTAAGGCATGTACCTTGTTTAAACATTGCCGAACTTATAGCCCTAAGTCTCTGGCTGGCTACACTGAGATTTGTAGATAACAAACCTACTTCTGTCAGTGAGGAATGATTCCACGACGCAATGTACAATTATTGTTTATATTTACCTTTGAAAAGTCCTCTGTGTCTGATAGCCCATACAAAGTGAAGATAGCGGCCTTACAATCACTCAACGAATAGCAACGTGCCCAACATTGCTTTACAGTTTGGATGGTCAGAGAGAAACAGGTTCCAATTTACTTCAGATATTTATAGGAGATTGGCAACCACTCATAATAATACAAAACTACTCCTGCGGCTACTAATAAAACTTGGTACCATCCATTGCTTTTTATTTATTTGAATAGTTTCCTCTGTGCTATAAAAAAGGAAAAATGTTCATTTATAAAATTAAAATACACTCTCCTAAATGTAACATTATACTTACCATGTCTTTTCTTTAACACAATTTTTAAAGACACTCATAAAATAATTAATTCATACCTGATGATGTTTTCCTGAATCAGTAATAGAGCTAGCTACTTTTATCTTTTCTGCATTTCCGTTAATGACAAGAGAACATATTAAATTGGCACCAAAAAAAGTCAACAGAAATCCTCTACTGTGATACCTTATCTTCCTTGGCCAGGTACAACATTGCTCTGGAAATCCAGTAAGATTGAATGGTGAGTTGAGTGTGAATCTGGGAATGGTGAGGCTTTGATCCACCAAGAGCAATGTTCCTTAGACTTAAGATTCACACGGGGTTCCCCTGCACCTGCTGCAGGGAAATTCTCTTCTTCAGGTGGAATCCCAACCTATACACAGTCTCCACTGCAGAAAGAGCATGGTTTGTGGGGATTCAGAGCAACTGACTACCCGGACATGGGGGTTGCCCAAAATAAGACCAATCTTTTAATTGAGCTTTATTTGGTTTCCTCTGGCTTTTCCAAGGGAAAGATTGAACTCATTAAGCAATACTAATTCAATCACAAGTAATTATCAGGGGAGAAACATTACATAACTGTCTTCAACATTGTGAATCAAACATGGTGAAAACCCATGGAAAACAGATTTGCTTTTTTTTTCCTTTAAATTTTTTTTTAACAGAATCTTCATCTCAAAAATAAAAGATATAAGGAAACAGACAGAACTCCACCAGTTTAACAAAATCAAAGTAGACATTGACATTTCCTTACAAGCATCAAATTTACTACACAGCTCTCCAATTCCTAACTTTTTAACAGAATTATGTATGAGACCTTGAAACACATCCTGTTTGCCGATGAACAAAGAAAATGCATTTTAACTCATGAAAAAGGTAAAAGAAATAATTATAAAGTATACAGGGAAAATCACCCTTGTCATGTTGAAATATATCTCCCTTGTCTCTTGTCTGCTTTCAACCACAGCAAAAGGATCTGGTGATACTGGCCCAGGTTGGCTTTATGCCTTAAAAATCAAAACCATGCCCAAGTCCACAGTAGCTGCATTCCTAAAGGAAAGCATTATCCTGTTAGGTAAGTGGGAAATGTTTGAGGACAGCTTTCTAACAATCAGATGGTGTGGGATTTGCTATAGGTCCTCACTATTAAGGGAGTCAGCAGGAGGCATTTCTAGGTCGCAGGACAGCATGCAGGTATTGGAAAGCAAGAACACAGTCAAGTTTAAAGGTCCTTGTTTCTGCCTACGCATAATCCAATAGGTGCATAAACCCTGTGGCCCCTAGCACACGCCAGCAGGCATAATTACCCGAGGAGAATCCGGGAAACCCTCACTCAGTGCTTTCTACCCCGACCAGCCCCAGAACAATGTCAATTCATTCGAACCCCCTGCTGAAGGCAGCAATCAGAAACCGTGGCTGTGTCAGATTAGCCCTGACAAGCTTCATACCTGCAATGACGCGATGGAGCCTCTTCCTACGGTCCCTGCTCTCTCCCTCTGCCTCTCCTCTGGGTGCTATAGTCCACGGCGGGCTCCAAGTTGCGTCCCCCGCGGCCGCGCTCCGTGGCACCGCAGACGGACTCCAGCAAACGCCCATAGGAGAGGCGCCGGCCCAGCCTGGCCGCGCCTGCAGATGCGAGCGCAGCCCGGGAGTCTCCGCTCTGACTCCTCTCGCCGCTGCATGGGGATATTAGCACGGTCTGGGATTTCTATTGGCTCTGAACACCAAACAAATCACACCAGCCTCCCCCTCCTTCCCTGGTTCACTCAGCGCTTCTCATCTAACCCACAAACATTGCAGCCACACACACTTCAGCCGCTTGCAATGTTTCTCTTTTCCTCCTTCCAGTCTGTGGATTTACAACCTTGTGGTCAGCTCTTAACATTTTTTTTAGCAGAGTTCCAATCCAAACCTTCTTGTTTATGTAGAGAAATTCTCCATTTCCTAAACCCGCAAAAACCACTCATTCTTTCAGATCTTCTTCCTCCTTTTGTTGATGGGCTTGTAATGTGAAGAATGTTGAAAACCTGCGTGTGATATCACACACACACACACACACACACACACACACACACACACACACACACAGGTTCCTTTTGTTGTGAATAACTGTGAGCAGTAAAATTAAAGGCAAGCTGAGCCTCTTAACCTAAGTGAGAGTTTAGCTAATAAAACCTTGAATGAATTTAGGGCAAAACACTCATTGCTTGGGTTCGTCCTCTGTTCCAAATAGTGTTTCGGTCATTATTATCCTTATTTTTGTTTATTGAATGCAGAGGGTTCTAATGCAAATCAGATTTCTCGGCGTCCAGAGAACACGGGACGATGACGCGGGATCCGTGCTGGGGCTCCAGCAGGCTCGGTGTGTTTTGTCAGAACGCGGTGAAGCCCGCGCCCTTCCCCATGTTCTTATTTTCAGAGCCTTTACTCTCCCCTGACCATCTCTGGACGGAGACTCTCTTTGGCATCCAGTATCCAAGGAGGACTTCATCCTCTGTTGCATGAAGGTTGCTGGATGCTAAATCATCGTCTGTGTGCGCAATAGACACGAGCACTGGGCCCCTCAGTGCGGAAAGGAGCCAGGAAAAGTCTTGTGTATCTTATAAAACAGACCCTCCTCTAGCCCACCTGACCCCAAGTCCATCTCACTGGTGCTCCTGGTAAGTTTAATGACAGTTCTTTCTTGAGCAGAAGCTATCGCTTCTGAAATCACAGAGCTCTGTTACGATTTTTTACTTGAATTTCTTTCCAGTATTACTGCTTTTGTATCCTCCTTTTCATTTGATACTCTAGTTCCAGCCAACTCATGGCACATTTAGTACAAAACCACAAGACATGATAATTAGTTTTTGAAATTTCTTATCACCAAACAGACTACTTGTTTTATTTTTCTTACTTGGATACATTCCAGGAATTCTGAAACGTGGTCTTCCTTCCAGAGTGGATCAACCTGACATCAGTTGAAGTTGACAAAAGAAAGGCAAAGCAAAACCACACTCAGCTCTTGGTTCCTGCTAACCACAGAGTGACTTCAAATGGCCCATTCTTAGTACTTAACAACTCTAGTCTATTCTTTATTTTTTCAGGTAGGCAGCTAAGAACTTGTGGTACTGTTGTACATCTTTGAACAGGTAGAGTACATTTCTTCTAACCAGTTTACTAGTTCTAGAAAGAAAGGATTCATGGGCAAGATTTTCCCCATTTTACAGATGGAAAAACAGAGAAAAATAAAGTGACTCTCTGAAGGTAGACAGCAAACAAAGCCAGGAGACTGGATGACTGTCCTCCTTATCTTTTTAAAGTTATCTTTTTCATATGAACTATTCAAATCAAACAAAAGGAAAGAGTTAAAACAGCAGATTCTGATTCCTACCTCCTCAGAATAGAAAAGCTAACCATTCACAAAATCATCTGCCCAACCTGATGAATAGTTACTTTAAATAGTATTTCACAACTAGCCATGATATTTTCAGATAAGTTACCAATAATCTGCCTTAGAATTACCCTTCTAGGAAAAAAGACAGTGACTGATTAAAATAAAGCATAGCCAGTGTGGTTATTATATGCTCTGTTTCTCCTTTTCAGGGCTCATTATAGCTCTGCATATCTCTGAGAAGACAATGTAAGTACAGACATGAATAACTTAAAGTCACAGATAAATCTTAAACTTTGTTTTAGGTAATAATTCAAGTTCTTTCCTCAGTTAATGAAGAGCAAAACTAGATGATTTAAGAGACAGTTTCTTATACACAATCAGTTGCATGATTAAGGTGAAATAAATCATGGGTATATATCCTATATCCTTTTGATCATTTCCCACTTTTAAAAATACTTTTTCAGAACATTTCTGAGATGCTATGTATAGTTCATTAAGCCTTCCATAAATGACATAGACATCAGTACTAATAAAAACTCTTGCATCTAAAATTGTACGGTACTAGACTGCAATACAGTTTAATGACAAAAAAATATCTTATTTTCAACTCATTCAGTCACACCAATGTCGCCCTGTTTGCTTCAGCAGAGCACTTGTGGCTAAATTTTTTTAATCTTATTTATTTATTTATTTATTTGCTTATTTATTTGGTACAGAGTCTTGCTAAGTAGCTCAGACTCATAATGATTCTCCTGGATCAAACCCTGGTCCTTGCACTTGCCAGGCAGGCACTTAGATGGCCGAGCTATCAATCCAGCCCTTTGATAGAGCACTTGTACAAGAGACAGTCACAAATTGTCATACATCTAGGGGAGCTGGGAAGACAGTGATTCTGGATATTATAATTCGTCTTGGAAAAAGAACTTGAGGTCAGGCCAGAGAAATAGCTCAGAGGACTAAGCACCTGCTTAGTCAAGCTCAGGGACCAGGGTTCGATCCCCAGCAGCACAAGCCGAACCTGCCCCACCCTGAGTGTGCTAAGCCAGCCACAGAGACTGGGTGTGGTGGTTCACACCTGTAATTCCAGCACTGGGGAGGCTGAAACAGGAGGATCACTATGAATCTCAGGTGCATAGTTAGGCCCTGTACAAAGAACATTAAAAAAAGTAGTACAGAGACCAGACTAATGATATATTTAAATTTGAAAGCACCTTTATTTTATTATATGGTAGAAGAATTTCTAATTGTATTGACTGATTTTCAGTAAAACATAAAAAAAATCACAGTTATGATATTAGTAAAGGCTCTGGGTGTTTTATAGCATTCTTTTTTTGGGGGGGGGGTGGAACTGGGGATTGAACTCAGGCCCTTACACTTGCCAGGCAAGCGCCTATTCTACTGAGCTATCTCCCCGGTCCCTTAAAGTTTTTATAACATCCTTGTTTTGTTTTAGTTTTGAAGGCTCTGGGTGTTTATAGATGATTTTTTTTTTTGCCTTTGTTTTGACATGTCTACATTTTCTATGGTGAATGTAATTTGCAATGAAAGCAGAAAAGCTTGAAAGTCCATCTCTCTAAATGAAGATAAGAGATTTCCCTGTGAGCAGCATGCTAGATTCTGACTGTTGCAAGCATTTCCATGGTTACAGGCAGCATCTTCTTGTTCATCTCGGCATCCCTTCCTTTATTTTCTTTCCAATCTCACTAGATGCCATCCTAGTGCTGGTGTCTTCCCCTGGCTGCCTCTTTACTCATCTAAATATCTTCCTTCTAACTTATCCATGTGTTGAAAACCTATCATTTTAGTCCTTTGATAGCTAACATTGTCTTCCTAAGATTATCATAACAGTCTCAATTTAAAATTGTTGAGTGATTTTAAGTCCTCTGGTTTTTCTTCAGATTGTATAAATCTTTTGCCTTTTTAAAATTGTTGAATGATTTTGATATAGATAGTTTAAATTTCTTTAGTTTACTGGTTATTAATTAATCATCCATCAGGTATCAACCTTTATGTTAGTGAAAGCCAAAAACTTTATTGTTAAAAGCTCTAAGTTCACACCAGTCTCCAAAAGAAATATTCATGATTCATTGACCTATACTGATTTATACTTTTATCTTTCACAAATTTCAACTGTTTGTATGGAATATTGGTTTCCCTTGTGTCACAACAATCCTGCTCAAAATGTACAAGAATGATTTATAAGGGTTTTACAGGAAAAAATACAGCTTTTCCTGTGTTGCAGAATAAACTCCTTGCAATGGGAGTGCCATCTGTCATGTTCGTGTCACCCCAGTGGAGCAGAGAGTACAACCCACAGATGAGCTTGGGAAATTAATAGGAAAGGGAATGACCACATATTTCATGCAAGCCCCATATTTTCCCTTAAGACCCAGGGAGCAGGTGGTGGTGAGATTTTGTGATTCATTAGTTCGTGCTTATTAGATGTCAGCAAGGCCTCTGTGTGGAGACACGGATGGAGAGATATGAAAAAGGTGTAACCAGAGCCAAGGGAAGCCAAAATCTGTCATCTTAATACTCTGGGAGGCTGAGGCAGGAGGACTGCAAATCTGAGCCCAGTCTGGCAACTTAGTGAGACCCTGACTCAAAATTAAAAACTATATATATAAAGAAGACTGGGGATGTAGTTCAATAAGAAGGCTCTAGGTGATTCAGTCCCCAACACTCCCAAAAGAAAAATAAAGGATTAAAGTCATCCCTTTTTCTTTGTGAATGACTGGTTTTAAACTCCCCATGAATATTAAAATCTGAGGACACTCAAACCCTTCTACACATGGTATATTATCTGTGTATTACCCATTTGTACAGTCCTGGACACTTCAAATCATCACTAGATTACTTAGTAATACTAATTAAGACGTAGATGCTATCAAGATAGTTATTACCACGCATCATGTAAGGAGTTAGGACAAAACAGAAAGTCGGTACAAATTTGTTACAAATGTAATCCTTAAAAAAAAATACTCTGCATCAGTCTTTGATGGCATCCACAGCTGCAGAGTGCAAATATAGATTAGCTGCGTCTGCCTCCTCTCCTGCCTGGGGTTGGCAATTTGCCTTATTCTGCCCATTAGAGTAAGCCCAAAATGTACATGTGCGCTTCCCAAGAAAGCTTTCACAGTTCCTATGCGGTCTACCACACCCCTGTTTCTTCTCTTCTCTTGCAGCAAGTGCTGGCCTCTCCGTGTAAGGAAATGTAAAGCAGAGCATAAGTTCACCTGAGACTGACACAATCTAAGGGGAGGAGTGAGTGACGACGATTCTTGGCCATTTCTTTTATTTTTATTTTATTATTTTTTTATTTATTTGTGGAATATGGGATTGAACTCAGGCCGTTGTGATTGCCAGGCAAGGGCTTATTCTACTGAGCTATCTCCCCGGCTCCCTGCAACACCACCTGTGCTGAGGGAAAGCACATTTTTCTACAAGCAT